TGAACAAAAAATAATATATAAAGAATTTTGAAAAAAGAAAGGATGATTTTATCTAAGTTGAATAATTGAAAATATCTAATTCGTGGAACTTGGTTAGTAGATTAGATGATTTATTTTATATTTTCTAAGTTCAACAAATAATAGTTAAATATAAATTCAAACATATCTAGAAATATAATTTTTTTAAAAATATAATTAAAAGTATTGCATTTTTAAAGTATGTACTTGAAGGTTTTAATTAAATAATAGTTAGATATAAAACATCTAAAACATTATATAATTAGAAGAATCACATTTTAAGTATATTCTCGATACTTTTTTTCTGTTGGAAAAGACGATTACGGATTACCCCGGCTTTTAGAAAAAAGAGAGAGAGAGAGAGAGAAAATATTAGTGTGAAAACTAATCTGGAAAATAAGCGGAAATTTTCATGAGTACCTACTCTCTTTAATATTCATTCAAAAAAAAAAAAAAGGCCTACTCTCTTATTACTTATTAGCTATCACCTACCTTTTTACTGTTAAAATGTTGATGTACTGTTAAACTTTGATATACAGGTAACAATATAGATATATATATATATATATATTTTTTTTTTCCAGCAAAGATTATCAAAATTTTAACTCTGCATCATTTTTTTCTCGTAAAGGAGACTACATCATTTTTAATATTATGGTATCGTGGAAGGTGTTAAAAATGTAGAATTTATGTCTAAAAATGTAAAATTTATATTAAGTGGCATCAAATAAATATGAAATTTTCTCTACAAAAATAAATATGAAAATTTAAATATCTTCTTAAAAGTATCACCAAAAACATTTTTGATTTTTTTTAGCAACCTCTTAAAAATACATATGAATTATGCTATGCTTTTTTAGAATTTTTTTTTTGATTGATCCGTAATTATATAAGTTTATCATTTATATTGTTATTGTAAAATTTTTTAAATTTAATATTATATATTTAAATACATATTCACTCTGTGCCATCATTGGACCAATTCTACGGAAACTTTTCTGCTGGTACGTCACGTGATCTAAGCTGTCGCATCGGAACTCGCAATTAATTGTGAAATATACCAAATTGTCGTGAGCCAAAGCTGCCACAAAAGTTGCAAAGATTAATTTATAATATTTTAATTACTTTTCTTGAAAATAGTTCTTACCGGTAAATTTTTTTCCAAAGAAGTAAAAGTTATTTCATTAAATGTCAAAAAATAAAAAAGTTATTTCATTAAACTAAAAAGAATAACGGTGTGAATTAGAAGGAAGTTTTTTAAAAATAATTTATTGTTTATAAAGTTGGCAATATTTCATTTACTTCTTTTGTTTAATCTTTTCTTTTTTATTATTAAATCATTCTCAAACTATAGTCAATTTTAAGGGGGGAAAAAAAACAAAAAGCAATAGTATATAAAAAACTAATACAAAAATATTATCTGGTTGGTTCAATTTTTGTTTTTTGTTTCTTTCAAAAATTCAGAGTTCTTTATTCTTGTTTTCTCTGTTTAAAATTGTTTTAGGAAGAATTTTAAATTTTTAGTTAAAATTTGAAAATGAGTTGAAGGACAGAAAAAAAAAATTATCATAGTTAACAAACATTTTCTTAAAAAAAAAAAACAAATCAAATTTGTGAAAAGGAAAATGACCGTCATTAAATGATTTGTTCTTGATTTTTCTTTTTATATATGTTACAAATATCCTACCCTTTGTCAACAAACTGTGCGAGAAGACCACGATTGTGCAGTACATGAATTTTTATGCCGTCTAATATTATAAATATAATATGAATATTCAAACTTATTAATCCATTATTTAATTCTTACCATCTAATAAAAGATTAACTCAAATTTAAAAATAAATAAAATATTAATAAAATAAATAATGATTAATAAAAATTAAAAGCGATATAAGCATACAATAAATATATAAAACAAAATAATATAAGAAGTACAATCACATAAAGTAGGATGGTATAGGATTGGGTATATTCTCGTATTTATAGAGGAAGTCTTATCGAAGTGGTTTGAATGGACCGACTCAAGTGGTTGGATTTGGTCAACTCAAATATGGTCTAGTTGGATTGAGGGTTTGATCCGAACTATTTAACCCATGTCACTTTTATAATTTCAATCCATAGAAATTTGATAAAATAAATTTTTTCGGCCACTTGTAAATAAAAGAAATGTGAGAAATACAAATAATACAGACTAAGGATAATCAAGCAATAAAAAAAATACCAATACAATATTAATATTAGTTTTAGAATTTGAAAAGAGATTATCTTATATATAGCATTTATGTTTATAGTTTAGAAGCACATCTTCCACCTTAGTTTCTCGATGAATAATTAACTTTTCAATCCAAGAATCGAAAATGTCTAAAAATTGAAGTAAAATATCTCAATTTTAGGAATTAAATTATATAATTATTTTATTTACCTCACATTTATTTAAATTTTTTTTACGTGATTAAAAAAATTAAAGAAACTTGCTGAAAAAAAGGAAATAAAATAAAATAAAGAAAAGAAAAGAAAAGAAAGAGTGAAAGCCAAAGGGTTTCCAAATCTCAATCCCCGCCACTGGCAGCTAAGCGACGATGGGACGTCCGTCGTGAAAGCAACCGCGTCCACTGGAACGAAACGTTCGTATCTAAATATAGTCGTCTCCAAATTCCATTTCCATTTCCATATTTGGTCCTCTTCCAATCCAGACCATATCGAAATCTGCGACGAGCTTCCTATAAAGTAACCATTTTCCCTCCTTGATCCACAACGAATCTGAACGTGAGGAGCCCCCAGGAGAGGCAGAGACCGCGAAGGCATCTTCTGGGAGCGACCGGGAGGCAGAGGAAGGGACAATGTCGGGAGGGGAAGAGAGAGCGGAGGGAGTCATGGCCACCGATTTCTTCTGGTCATACACCGACGAGCCCCACGCTTCCAGGAGACGCCAAATTCTCTCTCAGTACCCTCAGATCCGGGAGCTTTTCGGCCCTGACCCGTGGGCTTTCTTCAAGGTTCCATTTCAGTTTCCTCTCTGGTGTGTTCGTACTTTTGAGAATGTGGGAAATCTGTGATCGTCTTCTTGTCTGGATGTTCTGATTTCGTTTATTGCTGCTCACACCACATGTCAATGTCAATGTCTGATTCTGATCTGTATTTTTCCTTCTTTCTGCTTGATTCTGTGCTTTGGGTCTGCCACATTGCTGCGTTTTTCGTTACTGTTATTGTTATTTTCCCGACCTGATTACTCCCGCAAGTTGTATTGATCGAAAACCTACATTTGAGATTTGGAACGCTTGTCATTGAAGGATCTGTCCACTTCCCGGCGTTTAAAATCTTGTCATTCTCATTGCCAAGGTTCTTGATTCCCACAATCGATCTTTGCCCTTTTTACCATCTACCTTATTTTAATCCTTGTTTGTTTCTTTTTTCCTTATTTGTATCATGAGCATTTGTCTGAAGTTTCCTGCTTTTGTAACTAGCTATAGAATAAAAACATCTTCAATTCTTGCTGTTAGGCAAGCTTTGATTCAGGATCGTTTCGGTCTAAAATTGTTTGTAGTTACTCGCTTCTTTCTTTAGAATTGGAAAATTTTATGCCTTTTTCTGTCGGACTTCTTTTCTAGATAGTTTAAAATGCCTATAAACCCGCTTCCTCTACTGTCGAGATTATCTTGAGAAAATCCCTCACTTTGCTTAGCTCAAATATTTGATTTTAGCTGTTAGTTTGGTTCCTTTTATAGTTTTCTGTTTTTAAAAATTATGGTTGCTTTGGTATGTTTTTCATTTTTCTAAAACCATATTTGATCTCTTAGCCAAAATTTTAAAATGTAAACTTCTTTCTTGTTTTCTAAAATTTGGTTTAGATTTTGAAAACTTTCTAAAAATAGATGACAAAACAAATGTATTACTACGTGGGAGTAGTGCTTAAAAACTTAATTTTCAAGAACAGAAACTAAAATCAAAATAGTTCCAAATGGGGTTGTTTGATGAGGATAGCCTATTGATGAAAGTTAGGCTTTTGCATATTTCAAAGGAAACCATTCACGAAATCAGAAAAATGATCCTTGATGTTAAATATTTAGACTAGTGCTTGCTTCAATTTCTAAAAGTCTAGAATTCTTTGGTTTCAAAGGAAAAAAAAAAAAAAAAAACCTTTGCTGCTGTTGGGAAGGGATAATCGATCTTAGAAGTTCAGATTGTTATTATTCAACTAAATGCATCTGCAATTTGATTCTTCAGATACATAAAGTAGAGCCATCTGCATTTCTATCCACAATTGACCTATAGTCTTAAAGTTGTGATTATTTGTTGAAGTTTGGAAAATCAATCCTTAACTTATGATTGTAATATGAACTGGGCCAGTTTTTTTTCTCATTCTTGAAAATTTGCAGATTACTGTGGTTGTTCTGCTACAGTTATGGACTGCTACGACCCTTCACAGCGCAGACTGGTTAAAGATATTGGCAATAGCCTACTTCTTTGGCTCTTTTCTCAACCACAACCTGTTTTTAGCCATTCACGAGCTCAGTCACAACCTTGCCTTCTCGACTCCCGTACACAATCGGTGGCTCGGGATTTTTGCTAATCTCCCTATCGGAGTGCCCATGTCCGTCACATTCCAAAAGTATCACCTGGAACACCATCGATTCCAAGGAGTGGATGGCATGGATATGGACGTCCCGAGCGAGAATGAAGCTCGTATGGTGACTAATGTTGTCACAAAAGCTATATGGGTCATCTTCCAACTCTTCTTCTATGCTCTCCGGCCATTGTTTCTCAAACCAAAGCCCCCAGGCTACTGGGAGTTCATCAACTTCATCATTCAGATAGCTCTTGATTTCGCCATGGTTTACTTTTGGAGCTGGAAATCTTTTGCTTATCTGATCCTCTCCACCTTCGTCGGAGGCGGGATGCATCCGATGGCTGGTCACTTCATTTCCGAACACTACGTCTTCAATCCCAAACAGGAGACATACTCTTACTACGGTCCGCTTAATCTTCTGACATGGAGCGTGGGCTACCACAATGAACACCATGATTTCCCCAGAATTCCAGGAAGCAAGCTTTACAAGGTGAAGGAGATTGCACCTGAATTCTACAATGAATTAGACTCATATAAATCATGGAGCCAGGTGATATATATGTACATTATGGACAGAACAGTTGGCCCATTCAGTCGGATGAAGAGAATGGCAAAGAAATCTGAGTAGTTCATCATCCCTTTCTCTCCCTTTAGATTTTTTTGTTCGATTCTTTTTCCATCCTTTTCTGATGGATCGATCACTCTCTCTTGAGGTGGTTTTGCCATTGTTTTCTTCACGTTCTTGAAGAGTTTATTTATTTTATTTTATTTAGATTGTATTGTAGCAATGTTCATTGTACTGTAATCGATTCTCAGCCCAGGACCTTTCAAGGGACCGTTTGTAAAAGGTTTTGTTTCTTATTTGGTTAATTTACATTATTTTCTTTTTGACTGAGGGTTAATTTGCAATTCACCTACCTGTTTTCATCGTACAGTGTCTAAACTTTAAATTATGTTTATCTCTCGCTCATTTCGTTAATTCTGATAGATGGAATAATTAATGAACGTTTTATGATATATTCTCACATAATGAATTATAAAACACTTTTGTACCTGAAATTTATGGAATTTTAGAAAAGAAATAACGCGGGAGCTTGATTTTCGTTGAAATTAGAGAGTTGTGACGGATTTATTCAAAACCAAAGATTTTGTCTTACTCTTAGTTAACTTAATTTTATGACAGTTTTTTTTTTTACCTTGATTTTCATTAAAATATGTGATATATATCTTCAAAGTTAATAATTTTTCAAACTTGTTTCATTAAATTAAAACAAAGATTTATTTTCGACTTAATCAGGGAATTAGATCTTTCAAAAGAAAAAAAAAAATAAAAAAATAAAAAAAAATCAGGGAACTAGAGATACTATACCATGATCGTGGATATTATCGTCCGTCTTTATCCTGTGAATTGCGAATGGTTCAGTCGCCGCCGACGAGGTGAATCCCTCTTGACGGTGAGATTATTCAAATTCCTCAGTACTGGATGAACACCGAGTCCATTCGCATTACTGAGTACGAGAGAGGGAGAGAATTATGTTGAATTTGCTGCAGTGGAAGCTATTACCTCTACTGACTTTGCTCGCTTCCATTTTCGTAGTTTTCTACTTACAGTATCCATCCAAGGTAAGCTTTTCAGTAACTTTTTATCCCTATTTTTTCTGTATTCTTCTTTTGTATCTCATTCGTTAATCTTCCACTGTGTGCACTCTTTGCGAAGACAGGAAGACCGTAGACGGAAATCAACGAACTCGGTTTTGCAAAATATGAAGATTGGTTTCAGTGTGATTATTTTTCTTTTTTCATTCTTAACAATATTGAACTTGAAATGAACTTTGTTATATCTTCCTACTTTGGCATTGGAAATTAATTCCAGTTATCGAGTTTTTGAAATTTATGAAAATTTGAGAGTATATTAAGTGGTTATGTGGGTTCGAACCTAGCAACTTAGCTTTGCAAGTATATTGGTAATTTTACTTTGGTATTAAAATTACAAAATCATAATTAAAACATAGCAACGTTATTTTTTTAAGTCGTTTTATATACGTGTTCGGCGAGATGAATATAATAATGTTAAATCTTATATATGGAGAATATATATGTAGCGAGCAATCTTAGCCTAAGCTGCTTCTGGGTTTAGGGGTGATATTTCATGTTTAGGATTCCTTTTGCACTAAATCAGTGCAAGGGAAGTTGCCAAAACAGTGAGGATTGTTATCCCGCAGGGTGGCCTCTACTCTAACAAAAATTGTGGAGGAAGATGGTTTTTAATTTCTGCGTAAGATTTGTATTTGCATAGCTGTGCAGAAAGGCAAATGAGATGTAAGCATGGCAAATACATAAATTATATGAAAGTTGTTAACTTCTTCCTGCTGCAACCATAGATCGCAGTTTATACTGTTTCAGTTATGATTAAATTTGTCATTCATGTGAAAGAATTTTTCATTTTGGTTTCGACCCTCTCAGAATGACTGCAGCCTGCTTCCTTACCAACACTATTGGATAACAAGCAAGCGCATTGTTACGCCACAAGGAGTCATTTCTGGTGCTGGTTAGTACACTAGTTAATGCTTTATCCATTTATTTCACTTTAGGCTATGTTTCATTAGTTGGCTTTGGTTTACTCACCTTGCCTATCTTGTTTTCCCTCTATGCTACGTTTTAAATTTATAATTCCTTCTCTGATAAATCAGCTCATTAGTAACTAATCAGAAAGTGTTTCTTTGTCAGTCATGGGTTTTCATCTTGCTTTCTTGATCATCTTATGAATTTTTTTTATGAAATGCTTAATTGGGCAGTTGAGATAAATGAGGGGAAGATCGTATCCATTGTTAGGGAAGAAGAAAGGCATGGGAAGATTACGGGATCACATGTAGTTGATTTTTCAGATGCCGTTGTAATGCCTGGCTTGGTTGACATGTAAGACATGAAAATCCATTTTGTCTTCCGCATCCTCTGATTATTGGATATAAATATGATTTGCAGTTTCTGATAGTAAATAAAATTGCAGGATATTGTAGAATTTTAGTTACTGGTACTACAACCATTCTATTTTATTTTTCTCAGAAGAGAAATTAATTAGACAAGTTTTGTGCTGGGAGGTTAGATTCCAAATTTGTAGTTGGCAACTTATACATTCTCTATTTCTGAGAGTTCGGGTGTGTGATCGTACTATCAGTGTCAAGGATTTGTTTTGGCTTTAAATTGAGAGCAATTTGAAATGTGAAGGCCGTTTGACTGGAACTGGTTCCTACAATAACGTTACGTCTATACTTTTCTTGTCCTTGAATTTGTATGGTTCATTTTAATCTTAGTTTCCAGCAGGGGGATTTTATCCAGTGGACATAATCAATGTCTTCACGGGAACCTTATTAGTAATGCTCTTGATTTCTTTCTTGGCAGCCATGTTCATCTTGATGATCCTGGACGATCTGAATGGGAAGGGTTTCCTTCTGGAACAAAAGCTGCAGCTGCTGGTATGATTTTGTTGCTTGTCATTTCTTCATTTAGAAGGCTTCATATTTTGGAAGGTGGAAGGAATGGCTGTACCACGAACAAACTTCATCATCTCCAACAGAGCTTACATCTATTTTAAGTTCCAACTCCATGTTTATGGTTTCTAAACCTTCTAGACCTGTTTCGATTGAATTTAGAATATTTTAGCGCAGTAAAGTTGAGTTTTCTTTTTTATGTTTTATTATGAACTTTCCTTTAGTCCAGATGGACAACATGAGGAACTGATATTGATATGTTTGAACAGGTGGTGTAACTACGCTGGTTGACATGCCTTTAAATAATTTTCCATCCACTACGTCTGAAGAAACTCTAAAACTCAAGGTTTGTTTTCAGCGTTTTCTGAATATATTTCAATCATTATTGTGAATTCATTGATCAAACCATCTTCTCTCTCTCTCTTTCTCTATCAGCATAAACATATATAAAATTGCTCATTTCTGATTTCTGCTTAACTCAATGCCCTACGACTTCTTTCTACTAATCTGTATTACTCTATCAATAGATTAAGGCTGCTGAAGGAAGAATTTATGTTGACGTTGGTATACTCAAAACTTTACTTTTCTAACTCAATTGTTATAATATAAGGACTAATGTCATTCTATTAATTAAAGGCTTCTGGGGAGGTCTTGTTCCTGAGAATGCTTTCAATGCAAGTGCTTTGGAAAGTCTCCTAAGTGCAGGTGCTCTTGGCTTAAAGGTACTTCTTGATAATTGTTCTGTCTTTAATGGTGTTTACATCTCAGCCTTATGGAATGTACATGAGTGGCATCTGTTCTAGATCCTACTTAAACTATAGTTTTCATTTCTTATACATTTATGATTTTATTATGTGGTTGCAATATTCTTTATCCTTATTTTTAGTAAGATGACAATGTCAGCCTGGTGGAGAGTGATAAATATCTTGCTCCTATCTAATTGTTTCATCAGGCAAATTCCTCAGGTAGCAATAAAATGTCTTCATAGTGGGGTCTCCTTCAATAGAAGGTTACTTTTTTCAGGACACCCTTAGATCAATGTTGAACGAACTAGCTTGATGTTTGCAGTAAATCTCTATGACCTTAGCAATTTTCTCCCACCTAACATATTTTTCCATTTTTGTTTTGTAGTCGTTTATGTGTCCTTCTGGGATCGATGACTTTCCTATGACAGATATTACTCATATAAAGGTTTGTTTAAATGTTTAGTTGCAGTATTCGTATGAGCAGTTTGATAAACTGAATGAATTAAATACTTTTATTTGGCCTAACCCGGTTGGCAAGGACTTGAGATCTCTTGGTCATACTAGAAAAAGGTCTCAAGTTCGAACCTTTCGGTGAGCTTAATACCAAAAGTCTTTGATGTCTCTGAGGTCCGGGTCTTGGAGCGGGCGCCCCTGAGTATAGGGGAGCAGAGCTCCGACTCCTAGTTATCAACCAAAAAAAAAAAAAAACTTTATTTGCCTGTCAAAGTAACACTACCATACAAATATATGCTTATTAGGAGGGATTGTCAGTGCTGGCAAAATACAAAAGACCTTTGCTTGTACATTCAGAGATTCAGAAAAGTTCTCCAAGCTCTTCACAACTTGAAGATAGTCAAGATGACCCTCGTTCTTACTCAACATATCTTGCAACCAGACCACCTTCCTGGTAAGATATGAAAATTTCCTTACATTTTTCCAATTTTGCATTTTGACGTAGTCCAAGAATTTTTATCATGATTTTCCTTTCTTTTTTTTTCCTATTTTAGTGCTGTGCTTGTTTTATAATTATTAATGTGTAATGAATTCACTATAACATACAGACATATTTGTCTTTCCCATTGTTGGTTTTAATCTTCCTAGATATGTCTTCACAACCCAATAATTCCCTTTTCTTTTATTACAATGAAACTTGACTTCATTTAAAATTGAAATTCACAAGTGGTGATGAGATATCAATCCGATAGAGAATTTTGGGAAGTGGTTTTAACCTTCCTACAGCGGACATAATCTGTCTTTAGAAACATAGATATGTAAAGACATAATCTTCCTAGATATTTAAAGACGTAATCTTCCGAGTCATGTCTTCACAACACAATTATTGTAGTTTCTAAAAACAGATATGTCCACTTCCCAATGTAGAAGTAAGTTCAATTAAAAGAAAAAAAAAACTTTTTTTTCACGTGGTTTGTACAAACTTTATTTCTGGTCACCATTCATCTCTTGTATGATTAAATAGGGAAGAGGCAGCTGTTAGAGAGCTGTTAACAGTGACAAATAACACAAGGCCAGGTGGCCCTGCAGAAGGAGCTCACCTTCACGTCGTTCACTTGTCTGACTCAGGCTCTACCTTAGAACTTATTAAGGTACTTTATACAAAACTCACACATGCATGCATGTCCCCAACTCCCAATGGGCATATAACATTCTATTAGACTATTCAGCCCATACGTTGTCACTCACTCCCTAAGGAAGTTTGGTCTGTCCACGTCAAGTTCAACGGGCTTCGATATCTTTTTGACTATGCTACTGCATTCAAGAGCTATAGTCTACTCTGCCATAACTAGCTGGAAAATGAAGAGAACGAAGAATGTTATTCTCACTTCTTTCACAGGAAGCAAAAAGGATTGGTGATAGTGTATCTGTTGAGACGTGCACCCACTACCTAGCTTTTTCCGAGGAAGATATAAAAAATGGAGATACTCGCTTCAAGTGTGCTCCACCACTTCGTGATAAAGCCAACAAAGAAAAACTATGGGAAGCTCTAATGGTCAGTGTTTTGATAGATATTGCTAGTTAAATATTGCTTTTTTTTTTTAAAAGTAGTTAAATACTGCTTAATTCTTCTCTGAAGTTGCACCTGTTTCTACTTAACATTACAGGAAGGACATATTGACATGTTAAGTTCCGATCATTCGCCAACACTGCCAGAACTAAAGCTACTTGATTCTGGGGACTTTTTGAAGGCTTGGGGTGGCGTGTCATCTCTGCAGGTTAGGATTAAATATTTACTATAGATTGTCCCACAAGCATCTGTCCCTTCTTTTTCTCGTACTCTTAGGCATGGACCAATACATCTGCACAATTAAAATTATAGTAGAAGCTGATTAAGAATAAGCTTGTTGCTGATTTAGATGAAACAGTCTTTAAATTGTATTTTGATAGTTAATGTTTTCAGACATTTGTATCTATGACCTTCATAACTAATAGCCATTGAGATAGATTGGCCTCCTTTAAGAAAATTTGAAATCGAAGGTAAATTCTATCTATCTTGTGGCTCCCAGTGAACGAATATCCCATAGTCATAACACTTCACCAGACGATGCATTTGTATTCTGCATGAATACATGGACAAGAGAATTAACTGCCAATCAAGTTACCAATATTAACATCAATTCTTTTTGAGAATCTGCAGTTTGATCTCTCTGCGACATGGTCACATGCAAAGAAACGTGGAGTATCAATAGAGCAATTGGCTTTGTGGTGGAGTGAGCGGCCTGCCAAGCTTGCTGGCCTTGAATTAAAGGTCAAACTTTTTTTTTCTAATATCAATTTCTTCGTTCCCACTTTTTTGGCAGGGTAGATTGAGATACGTTCATTGTCTTCCCTTCTTCACGAGCTTGTTAAATTATGAATGTACAATGGTCAATGAGTTATATCACAAGAAATAGCCTAAATAACTTGTTTAATTTTCATTAATGGTAGGAGAGTTGCATATCAATGTACAATAATAACATCATACAAGCCAAGTGTCATATTTTTTACCATGTTTAATGGAGATGCTTGACTACTGGTAATCATCACTAGCTCGTTGATATATGAAAATCTAGTTCTATCTTACAGGGAGCTATTGCTGTTGGAAAGCATGCGGATATTGTTGCATTTGTACCAGAAGAGGAGTTTGACGTCAATGACAAGCTTCCTGTATACCTTAGACATCCAGTATGTCTGGTTTTCTATTTCACCACTGTTTCCTCTTCATATGTCTACTTTCACTTGTTTCTATTTTCCCTTGTCTGAATTTATTTCCAGCATTTTAACTCTACAGATTCAGTTACATAAAATATAAATTTCACGTCTCCATGGGCAGGGAATCTTTTAGATAAAAAATTGCTCTATGAAACAAAACTTGTTTTCTCCTTAAAATTAAAACCAAGAAGGCCTGCATTTGTCATGAGTTTTCTGTTGCAAAAAAGTTGGGTTGGCTTGTTATGCAGCTATGTTAACTTGGGCTTTTTCTCTGTCATTCTTTTAATATAGAGCATTTCAGCCTACATGGGAATGAAGCTGTCTGGAAAAGTTTTGGCCACATTTGTAAGGGGGCAACTGGTATTCAAAGAGAAGCACGCACCCGCCGCCTGTGGTGCTCCAATCCTCGCATGATCAAGGACTCTGATATCTATTAATCTTCATGTTATGACTTAATTAGTGCCTTTCATGCGCTTATGATGTAAAGAATAAAGGGTCAAATTTTCTAGAGTTGTTTGTTATAAAGCATGAAGGGTACTAATATCTGTGTTAAACCTTTTCATTTATATAAAGTTGAGCTGGCTTATAAAATAATCTATAGGATAGGATGCTGGAAGTGCACTCTTTGTTGGGAGATAGGTTCCTTAATCAAATTTGATCCATATGATATAAGTTTCCTTTTCCTCTTTCTTACTTCTTTTCTAGAAGGAAATAATAACTCGTTGGAAATAAAAACCTTAACCATAGCCTGTCAATGTAGCTTAACTAGGTCAATCAAGAGAACAAATTCATCATCAATTATTTAGCAATCCGATCTAGTCACTCGTGCAGAAAAATATACTTGGTAAAAAATACACAACATTAATCTTCAACCTCTATCTTTTACTATTTTAGAATATCGATCAATATTTATGCTTAAATGATCATGACGATCAACTTTACGAGTTAGAATTCCATAACAAAAAAGAGTCATACTTACAAATCTACGACTTATGACAATGATAAGAATATTAAGAACGAACCAAATATGCACATCATGATTCACACCACATTTCTCATAGCACCAAATGGCAATCAAGAAATTTTAGTTGCCAACGAAGAACGACATGTCGTTTTGACTCGGTGAAACACATGTCGTCGAAGTTGCTAAGCTCCGTTCTTTTTGTATGCGATTGCAACTGCAAGGATAACCGAAGCCTGCGACTGCGTAACTAACGTCAATGGAGAGGACTCGGCGATTGAACTGGATAAGATGCCCGCTCTGAAAATCCATTCCGCAGAAATTTTCACTCACCGGCGCCCTCCTCCACTTTCTTCACCTTCCGATGGAGTTCAGCTACAGCTTCGTCTCCATTAGAAGAACTCCCAGTATCTTAGCCAGAGTTTTCAGGCCCGCCTTTTCACTATCCACCTCTCATGAATCGGCGTCCGTCCGAATCGCTACTTCACAGGCCCTCCAGAACGAAACCCTCAGAGTTCTAGAATGGAGTTCTATCTGTAAGCAACTCTCCACGTTTACATCGACCTCCATGGGCTTTGACGTAGCTCAAAAGGCTAACATCCGAATTGGCCGGACGAGGGAGGAGAGCCAAAAGCTTCTGGATCAGACGGCTGCAGCGGAAGCTGTGGTTTCCAGACAGTTGGATTTTTCAGGAATCGAAGAAGTCTCTGGAATTTTGAATTCGGCAACTTCTGGAAAATTGCTTACAGTAGCTGAACTGTGTTCGGTGCGACGAACTCTGAAAGCTGCGAGGGAGTTGTTCGAGGAACTGGAGGCTTTAGCTGCTGGTGGCCAGTCTTCAGATAGGTAAAGTTTCTATGGAGCTTTTGGTGTTTGAAGGAAAACTGATGTGATGTTTATTTACATAGAAAATTATCTCGTGAAACATTTCAATTTTCCCCTTCTTTCTTTGTTCGTAAAAAATAATAAGAAACAAGAAAGAAGAGTGGAGAAAAAATATTCTGAACATCTCGAGCCGTGAGTAAAAGATCCTAATTCCCTGTGTTCCTGTCCGTGATAGTTTAGTTGATGAAATGAAACGTGAACAGATACTATGGGTAGAGATGAACACGATTTAATCTATCTAATTATATTCATTAGGTACTTGCCCTTGCTTGAAATACTTCAGAATTGCGATTTCCAGGTGGAATTGGAGAGCAAAGTTGGATTTTGCATCGACTGCAATTTCTCAATTATTCTTGATAGAGCCAGTGAAGACTTGGAGCTCATTCGCTTGGAGAGGAAGAGAAATATGGAAGAGTTAGATTCTCTGTTGAAGGCAGTATCCTCTAAGATTTATCAGGCGGGTGGAATCGACAGACCTCTGATAACGAAGCGCCGAGCTCGAATGTGTGTTGCTGTTAGAGCTTCTCACAAATATTTGCTTCCAGATGGAATTGTATTGAGCACCAGCAGTTCTGGCGCCACTTACTTTATCGAACCCGGGGATGCAGTGGATTTGAACAACATGGAAGTTAGGCTTTCAAATTCTGAGAAGGCTGAGGAAATAGCCATTTTGAGTATGCTTACAGCTGAAATATCAGAGTCAGAAAGTGATATAAAGTATTTATTGGATAGAATTATTGAACTTGATCTTGCTTTGGCCAGGGCTGCTTATGCTCGATGGATGAGTGGGGTTTGTCCATGTTTCTCACCCAAGGGGTATGAAGGCTTAAATTATGGTATAACTGACAATACATTATCCGTAGATATTGATGCTATTCAGAACCCATTGCTGCTCAACTACTCTCTAAAAAGTTCATCAGATAATGTTTTATCTCACTCTGAAAATGTAGGTCAATTTGACAAGAGAGATAATGCAATGAATAGTGAAGGTTTTTCAGGAAGCTTCACTGATTTTCCAGTGCCAATAGACATTAAAATTAAGCATCAAACTAGAGTGGTTGTGATTTCAGGACCTAATACAGGAGGCAAAACTGCATCCATTAAGACGTTGGGCCTAGCATCTCTTATGGCTAAGGCTGGCATGTACTTGCCTGCTAAGAACCTCCCAAAACTTCCATGGTTTGATCTTGTTCTGGCTGACGTTGGAGATCACCAGGTAGAATTTTCAAATCTTCCTACTGTAGTTGTATAGGTTATCAGCTTTTTTAGTTATATTTAAGTCTGACATCGCTTTCTTGATTGAAGTCTCTGGAACAAAATCTCTCAACTTTTAGTGGGCACATCTCGCGGATTTGTAAAATTTTAGAAGTATCCTCAAATGAATCTCTCGTCCTTATTGATGAAATTGGTAGTGGAACTGATCCTTCAGAAGGCGTGGCTCTCTCTACCAGCATTTTGAAATATCTCAAAAATTGTGTAAACTTAGCTGTTGTGACTACTCACTATGCGGATTTAACTCGCATAAAAGATAGTGATTCTTCATTTGAGAATGCAGCTATGGAATTTTCACTAGAAACTTTAAAACCTACTTATAGGGTCCTTTGGGGAAGTACTGGAGATTCAAATGCTTTAAGTATTGCTGAATCTATTGGATTTGATCCAGCCATAATAGAGCGTGCAAAGAAGTGGATGGTGAATCTTGCACCAGAAAGGCAGGATGAACGTAGGTGTCTGCTATTTAAATCACTAATAGAGGAAAGAGATAAATTGGAAGCTCAAAGGAGGAAAGCTGCATCTCTTCATGCTGAAATTTTGGCCCTTTATAACGAGGTAAAGTTCTAGAAATTTGTCCAGACTACCATTTGTCTGTTGCTTTTTACCCCTACTGCATTTTGTAAGCTTGCTTGTTCACTGACCGTGATAGTTGATCATGACATTACCTTTTGCTCATAACATACGTTTTTCAGTCTACGGAAAACTTACATTCGTGATTCGTAGCATAATCAACTAGAAAAAAACGTAAAGAAATGTGATTATCATTTCAACTTTCAAGTAGAGGCATTTCTTAAAACTTAAGTAGCTCAACAATTGCAATGGCCATTGGTGGCAGTTATAAAGGACTTCTGAAATTTTGAGCAAACTATACCATTTGATAAAGTATGAAAGAGTTTCTTGTGAATGATTTTACTATTTCTCAGTTCAACAAATGCCGAACCAATGACAATCCAACAACTTATGGTATTGCTTTATTTATGGAATAGATCTTTACTCATCTCATTTTTAAATCATTGATTTAGATTCAGTATGAGGCAGAAGATCTTGATAAGCGTGAGACAGCCCTTATGTCTCTCGAAACTAGACGGGCTCAGCAAGAGATTGAGGCAATAAAGTCCAAGATAGAAACTGTTATACAGAAGTTCGAAGAGCAACTGAAAATTGTTGGTGCCGATCAATTTAGTTCACTGATTAAGAAAACCGAATCAGAAATTGCTTCAATTTGTGAAGCTTGTGATCCAGCAGAGAATTTCCGCATCAGTGATGCAAATACTAATTCTTACACACCCAAGTTGGGTGAACAGGTGTTTGTAACTGGTCTCGGGAATAAGTTAGCTACTGTTGTTGAAGCTTCTGATGATGATGAAACAATCCTTGTGCAATATGGTAAAATAAAGGTGAGAGTGAAGAAAAGCAGTGTCAGAGCACTGCCAAATAAGGCAGCTGCAGCTAATTCTCTCTCATACTCTAAGAAACAGGTATCTTCTCTTATATTAACAGCCATGCTCTAGACATCATCTTTTGTAAATCTAAATTGCCTGCATATCAAGCCACTGTTGAGGATTTGGTAAAGTTAGGTCTAATGTTTTCCAATTGGATGATTCCTGAAATTTTCAATCATATGTAGCTTCACTCAAGGAGGCAACCCTCCTTATAACTGTTCATTTTTTCCCATGATATCGTTTTGACATTTAGGTTTTATTTCCCAATCTTTGAACCAGTTAACATATTTTTATAGCGCATCCCAATAAAAATTCATACTTGGAAATGCTTCCATTGTGCTCATGATCTCTAAACTGGCATTCATTTTTCTTCATTCTTCACTTTTTCCTTCAAATGGAAAACCTACAGTCTGAATATGTCTGGTGGGACATTGTAAATATTAAAGATTTGGTATCCAAGGGTTAGACGGACCTTACCATGACTTGGAATCTATTCCCTTGATTTCATTATCCAGTTGATGTTGTCTGTGTAACCATTGTACTATTTCCTGGGATGCATACACAAATGATGTGAATCTCACGGTCGTTGTTGACATTGTAGGGTCGACAGAGCAGGGAATTTGTTAGTCATTCAGATGGAAGTAAGGATGGGGATTCTTATGGCCCTGCAGTGCAGACCTCGAAGAATACGGTTGACCTGCGTGGTATGCGCGTTGAAGAAGCTTCTTACCACCTTGATATGGCCATCTCTTCTAGAGGGCCAAATTCCGTTCTTTTTATCATCCATGGAATGGGCACAGGTGCTGTTAAGGAATATGTACTTGAGACCTTGAGAAACCATCCTCGTGTAGCCAAGTATGATCAGGAGAGTCCTATGAATTATGGTTGTACAGTTGCTTATATAAAGTAAATATCAACCCTAGTTGGTGGTCTATGTCATGCTAAAGTTTACTACCCATTTGCTCTTAATTTGCACACTAACTAATCACATGTATGCACATATTGATGACGAGGATGTTGGACAAAAACAATACAGGAAGCACGTAGCTGCCTCAACTCATTGGTTCTTTGATATAAAGGAAGTATTTTACCATTCTTTAGATCCTCGGTTTTTTCAAACTCACCTTTTTGACCCATTGTGGTTTAACAATCTACCCTGAGGTTTGCTTTTGGTCTAGATTATAGTCTGACTTCACTGAATTCCCCTCAATGCAAATACTTGAAAGAAAGGCATAATTTTGATGAAATCTCAGACAATGGTGTAGCAAAATTCCACTGCTTCGCTCAAATTAAATGGCGGGTAGTTGACTTCTGTAATATGCCTTTGTTCGCCATGAAGATGAGAAGTTTTGAACTTTTTGTAGAAGGCAGTCCTTACTGATATCAATGCTAATGCATTTAAAAAATTATAACAGGACGAGTAACTAGAAAATATTTCTCAATATCTAATAATAAAAAAGTGAGGATGGTGGCACTGATGGTAATTTCTTTCGATGATGTTGACCAATGATAGGCAATAACAAGCAAATTCATGCTACTTTTATACCTTCCATGAGAAGAATTTGATAAACAAGATAACCACGAGCAACATGCGTTTGGCTGATTCACAACATCAATAATGAGATGCAATAAGAAAACAATCAGCCAATGCTCTTACCTTCAGTTGCTTCTTGCCAAGTGCCAAGAATTTTCTTTGTCTCCTCATCTTCATCTATTTGATCAGACTTCATTTGACTTAACAGCCCATGGACTTCTTTACCACCTCTTATATGAGCCTTCATCAAGGCATGATACATCTCTCTATTCACTGGAATGACAGACCTCAATGAGCCTACAAAAGCTTCTACTTCTTCAGTGCTGCTGTTATCTCCTATCCAATTCAATATGCCTGTGATCACACGAAGATTAGGCTTCCATCCTTTATCGATATGTAGAGAGAGGGCTGTCTTCATGCACTCTACAGCTTTCTCAGTCTCTCCCCTGTCCAGATATTGAACAGCCACAGCACCCCAACTGTTGGGTGTGGTAGCCTTTCCTTCCTTCATCAAGTCTTCAAGCAGGGCTTCGGCTCTCTCGCACATTCCCTTGTCAATATACCCAACAATGACAGTGTTAGGAACTCGAAAATCATAGCAATTCCCAGATGATTCCCACTCTTTCAGTACTTTTTCAGCTTCTTCAAGTTCACCCAGTCTCACCAGAGATTCAAGCATTGTAATATAGTCCCTATTGATGAATCTCGTAGAATCACTTTTATCCAGTTTCCACAATCTCAACACCTCCTCCTTGTTACCTAATGTCGCGTAAAGTGAGATCAGATGATTGTGGCCAATTCTGTCTTTACTGTTCAGTCTCTCTTCTGATTTTCTCAAGGCATCAACTGCCTTATCAGTAAGACCCCCTTTTATGAAGAAGTTTGCAACTACTGCATAAGTGTTCCAGTCCATGACAATGTGAGGTTGAGATTCCATCTCTTTCAATACACTCTCCATCCCCTCAAGATCGCATCTCGTACCATACGAATTGATGCAGATTCTGTAGCTGAAGTTGTCGGGGGAAACTTTATTCTCCTTCATCTCTGCTAGGACCTGAGGGACCTTGTCATGCTGACCAACGTTTGTATACAAGCACATCATGTCATTGTAAGTGAGCTCTGAAGTTGCAAAACCCATCTCTTTCATTTTTTGTAAATGGGAGAGGGATTTATCAACTTGCCGCTGCCGAACGTAGCAATTCAGGAGAGCACCATATGTCTTACCAGTCTTGTCTTGGTCCTTCAACTGATCAAAATAGCTTTCGGCAGAAAGATATCCACGAACTCGGCCAATCAGATCCAATTGCACTGCATGTTCGCTTGGTGAAAATATGCAGACGCCGCTTTGCTTCATCCATTCGGACACCTGCATTAACGTCCATCATCAATTACAAAGAAATCCACCAAAAAATTGTCCAAATCCACATATTTCCAGCTCATAATAATGTTTCAGTCATTCTATCACTATCCACAAATACTAAAATTTCAAGCAAGTGAAATTAATGGGGGGAGAAAAGACATGATTTCATCGCTGGAAGTCCATATTTCGTGAACTGATGATAAAGCTAGTCGAGCAAAGCACATGGAAAAGCCAAGTGCCTTCCATCTCCCCATGCCAAATCTATCGATATGACCTCATTCGCCATGATCCTCATTTCGAAGTTAGCGATTAGGCTATGCACACTTCAGAAGTGTGGCTCATCTAAAAGGCACTCAGCTCTAACTTGATGCATCACTTTGTATCATTCACTTCTTCCTCCAATCGAAACAAAGCACATTTCAGGAAAGAAGAATTCAAACCTCAAGAGCTTGGGTAAAACGCTTGCGCTTGCGAAGGTCGTGAATGATTCTCTGAAGCTCAGCGACTCGGATCTTCTTCCCCTCCTGGACCCAGCCGTCGAGCTCCGGCCCCACGCTGATGCTAGGATCGCCCAGTGGACTAATTTTCGCATACAGAGTCGCCTTTTTCATCCGATTAGTGTGATAAGATCGGCCAGCCATAGCATAGCGTGTTAAGGCTTTGGAGAAGAGGTTCTGATCCATCGATGAGGTCCGCAGAGAGCTCGCCATGGAAACTCGGTAAGCGGTAAGAAGAAGAACCAACGCACCGGAGGCGGCGGTTCAAGGTTTTAGGAAGGTTTTTTATTGGGCTCCTTAAAATTTACGGAATGAAAATGGGCTTCCTAATGGGCCGAACTTGGGCCTCAAAAGGAACATCAAAATAATATATGCTTATCTGTAAACTCTGTCAGCAATGTTGCTGTGGTGTAGTGGTTATCACGTTAGTCTTACACACTAAAGGTCCCCAGTTCGATCCTGGGCAGCAACAAAATTTTATGTTTTTTTTATTATTTTCTTTTTATTTTCCCTGTGTTTCTCCCCGATCTCAGCAATTTCGAATTCGTGTACTTGAGAAACGTTTTATGTTTTTCATCAACCTTCATCTGCAGAGCCCACTCCCACAGAATACTTGGGCAGCGTTCAGTTTCTTCATATTTTTCTTTGTTTTTTGAGCTTTCGTGATGAAGCTTTTAGTTCCAGGAAAACAAGTGCATCCAGTTGCATTTCGGAGAATATTGGGGCATTTCTACTCAATGATTGCGAGGGATTCACTTTACAGGAGGATTTCACCGGTGGGTGACCCTAATGTCTCTGTAATTCCAGTTCTTGATCAGTGGGTGCGAGAGGGCAGGCCTGTTCAGAGAGAGGAGCTTCAGAAGATTATCAAGGAGCTGAGAATTTACAAGCGGTCCAAACATGCTCTTGAGGTTTGCTTTCTCCTGTTTGCCGTTATCGAATTGATTTCGATGATTGAGGGAAATGGGTCCTTGGCAATACTAAGGTTAAGGCGTAAAATACAGACGATTTGCGATTAGCGAGCTTTAGGTGTTGATTGTTAGTTCTTTCCTGTTTCAATATATGATAATTGATGTATATACATATATAATTGAGCATCTGACCTCATCTGTCATTTGTAAGTTTGGAAGCTTGTAGAGGTAAGAGATCATGTCTTTCTACTGCTGTATGGATAATGAACTCATTTATCTTCCAGCATCGTTCTCCTATGAATTTGTTAAGCCACTGGAACTAGATCACCATGATTTGAGCTAAAATAATGTCAGATAGCTCTCTTTTCCCATCAATAGTAGCCTTGCAGTTGCACATTCTCTCTCTCTTTCTCTATTGAACTTCATGTTTTGACTTGCAAGAATAACTAATACAGTGGAGAGTGGTTTGCTTTCCATGTTCTTCTGATCATTGTAGAGAAATCTTGGCTTATTGATTTTATGTTGAATTATTTGCAATTTTGCAAAGTTCTATCCAGTACTCTCCTTTTGACCCATCTCTTGAAAATCCCTTCCTTCTTCTTCAGATATCTAAATGGATGGGTGATAAAAGATACCTGCCACTATCGTCTGTTGATATTGCGACACGGATGAATTTGATCTTAAGAGTTCATGGGTTGGAACAGGTAGAGGATTATTTCAACAGCATCCCAAGTCAATTGAAAAAGTTTCAGGTTCATGTAGCTCTTTTAAACTGCTATGCCCATGAAAAGTGTGTTGATAAAGCCAACGCCATCCTGCAAAAGATCAAGGAAATGGGCTTTGATGGAGCCCCCCTACCATACAATATCATGATGAATCTTTATTATCAAATTGGAGAATTTGAGAGATTAGATCCTCTGTTGCAAGAAATGGAAGAAAAGGGTGTATCTTATGATCGATACACATATAGCATCCGGTTGAGTGCATATGCTGTAGCATCTGATATCAAGGGAGTCGATAATATTGTCGAACGAATGGAATTAGATCCCAGAATTGTTCCGGATTGGAGCTGTTATGTCATTGCTGCAAATGGTTACCTTAAAGTTGGCTTAGTAGACAAATCTCTGTCCATGCTGAGGAAATCAGAAGCTCTTCTAGCAACTGCCAAAAGGAGAGGTTCTGCATTTGACATCCTCCTCAAACTGTATGCTGAAAGCGGAAAGAAAGACGAGTTACACCGTATCTGGAAACTTTACAAGAAGGAGAAAGTCTACAATAAAGGTTACATGAGCATGATGAGATCACTTTTGATATTAGATGATATCGAAGCAGCCGAGCATATTTTCAAGGACTGGGAGACCTGGAAATTGTCCAACGACTTGCGAATTCCGAACATGTTGATCGAGGCGTATTGCAGAAGAGGTCTGATGGAGAAGGCTGAAGCCCTCATAAACAAGGCAGTGACTGGAAAAAGCAAGTTTTCTGTCCATTCGTGGTGCTATTTAGCCAATGCATATATTCAGAAAGATCAACTACAGCACACAGTTGAAGCACTGAAAAAAGCAGCCACTTTGTGTCCACCAGAATTGAACCATTTCAAGGAAATTTTAGCAACTTTTCTTGAAGGGAAGCAAGATGTGAAAGAAGCTGAGAAAGTGGTTGGTTTGTTGAGGGCTGAAGCTAACTCTCTTTTTGCTCATGATGTATTGATAGATTGTGGTGATGAATGTGCATAGACTTGTTACAGAACAGTAAAGGGCTGTTTAATAGTTATTGTGTTTTTTTAAAAGAAACATAACTGTCAGCACTTCTCATTTGCTTTTTAGTTTTCCTTTGAAAAAGAAAGAGAGATTTTTTAGAGCTTTTTGTTTTTTAAATCTGACTGGTTATATTTGTCACTAACAGTTGCTCATTTGAAATGAATCAAAGCTACATAGAATGTGGTGTGTTTAATCAATTGTCCCAAAGCTTATTCAATTACATCCCTCGCAAAAATGGCTACAAACTAAAAATTGCAGGAGCCACCATCTATAATTAGAAGATAATAAGAGATAGAACTAAGCAACAGAAGAGAGAAAATGATATCCTGTTAAGCGATTTCTCTGCTAGCATTTCCTGCCTTCTCAATCGCGGACTGCTGCTCCCGGTCTGAGGATAAGAATTCGGGTATGTGTATAAGCCCTCTGAATTCCCAAACATCCTAGTATACACCATCTCTCCAAACATCCTGGCCACTGGATGATGAAAACTATCGGCTGGGTCGTGTTCGAGGTTAAATAACGAACTGCTCGAGTCCTCTTCATAGCTGTCATACGGATCAAAGTTGTAGCTTTGATTCTGATATGGGTTTCTATAAGGAAGGTGCTGACCAGAAGCATTATTAGATCTGATAGATCCCAGAGCCTTGTCGCCAAAAGCTGATGGCCTAGGAGGTATAAGTAACTCTTTGGCATCAACCTCATCATCCTCTGCCGATTGACCATGGCCGTAGAGAGGGATCATTGTCGTGTGGGAAATATCGGCCTTGCAAACCGGGCACTGCGGAGGCTCGTCAGGGCCGAGGGAGGCACTCTGGACATGAAGCCACTTGTAAATGCAAGGCCAGCAGTAGAGATGGCCGCACAGAGTCACTATAGGCTCAGATGCAAAGTCTAAGCAAATACTGCAGTCAAAACAAGCCTTAAAGTTCTCAGAGTTTGCCATTGCAGCTGGAACCTGCTTCCTCCAGCCATGTGAAAGGTAGTGCTCAAAGGCCATATATAGACAACTTCACAAATTTGCTTCACACCAGGACTTGGCCTGCAACAGACAACATTAAAATAAGAAAAAGAAGAAAAAATATGCAAGGTTTGAAAAAGAAAGTAGGAACTAATAAAATGTGAAACATGTCTTATCTGCTTCAACGACTTTAACTTCGGGTCGCATTCCCAATAAATGAAGGATCTTGACATGGTCTCATAAATAAATATGAAAATTATATGTAGTTACAATATTAAATTTTCTTTTGTACGAGTGGAATTCTCTGCCGTGGCCCAACCTATGCTGATCAATGCGATCAAACCACAGGGTTTGTCAGAGATGACGCATTCCCACAAAAAATGAAAATAATAATATTAAAAATCAGATTGTAATGGTGGAGTCTTAAGACCACAACTTTTTAAGTCTTCATGCCATAACCATTAATGAATTGAGGGTCCATCCAAACCAAACTTAGAATTTACTTGATTACCATTAATTTAATTATACACTAATGTGAGAAAACAAATGAAATAGCGGGAAGGATTAAGCCAAAAAAAAAGTTTAAATTGAATCTGTTTACTTCTTGTTACTTGATTTTTAGGTTTGGGTTTTCTTATTAGGAATCAGATAAATCTATATGAGAATATATATATATATATAGTTTACTAAAATTTTTTAGAATTAAAAATTATTGATATTGTTTATTAAAATTTTTTGGAATTGGAATAGAAATTATCTCTTTTCTAGCTAATTAAAAATACATTAACTAAAAAATGTGTTAATATTATTTGTAATTAAAATAATATATTTTATTTGTTTTATTACTACAATAATATTTAATTACAATAAATTATATTTTAATAATTTGTTGATATTAATTTATAATTAAATAATTGATGTTTAAACAGAAATTTGTAATGTTTTATATTTGATTTTAGTCCTTTTTTAACTTTGTATAAAATAACTAATTTAGTCGTTGCAATTAATTTTTCGATTAAACATCTAATAAAAATTTGAATGAATTAATTCTTTAGCAGGAGGTCTGAAATTGGAACCTCCGAAGGAAGGAGTCGGCACTATAGCTTATGTTAGCTTGAATTAATTAGTTTCATTTTCTTTTTAACTCATATATATATATATATATATTTGAATTCATTTCTCATACCACTGATGAACAAATTATCAACTCAATGAACATGCCAAAGAAGAATGTTGAATTAAGTTTTTGTTAATAAAGGACAAAAAAAACTATGTTATACAAATTCTAGGAGGTTAAAATAGAAGCTCAAAAGTTAACAGAGACTAGAAAAAATTCGAAGATACGAAAGAAAAGAAGAGAGAACGCGAGCTAGGGTTTCAAAATCCGGATGAAGTTATTCTTTCTTTCAATATTGTCAACACGTGAATACCTTGAATTCTTACTTTAAAAAGAGAAAATGTTATTCTTTATCCAATCACGGCAATGTGAATACGTACCTTGAATCTAAAAATAGTTACTGAAATCGAACGAGATCTTTGATGTTAGAGAAGGATTTTTAGAAGATGCGGAGAGAGAGTAAGTGGAGTTCTAATTTCAGAGTGCTAAAGCCCGAAAACCCACAGATCACAAGATCCGGAAATAGCCGGAGAAAAAAAAGAAGCAAGTCGAAAACAAAATCCACACAGACAACAGAACAAAATCGAAAGTTTTCCGATCGAGGAAGAAAAAAGAACCATCACACAAGCTGCTACCGTCGAAAAAGATTTTAGAGTGATAGAGTAAAAGGAGGGGGAAAAAAGGTTGAAGGAGTAGCTTGTGTTACCGAGAGGCGTAGAGAAGATCAAGAATCACAGTGCGAGAGCTGCCCTGATCTCCAGAAGATCGCTATCGTGAAATTCCCAAAACGAGGAGACGCAGAGGAGATCGCCAACCGACGTCTGTGAGGATTTAATGTTCTTCGGCCTCGCGTTGGCGGAAAAAATCAATTTATAGACAAATTCAGTAATTTCCTTTTTTTCCCTTTTTTCTGTTTAGGCGATATACAAACAGAGTATTTCTTACGTGTATTCTTCATCTGTCTTCTCTGGCAGTGAAACTCTGACGTGGTCCATATACTCTTGGGTTTTTGTGACAGTATTGTTGTTTTTTAATCACGTTTTTCAAAACTGATGTTTTGGCTGATGTCACCCATACCGTCCATGGCCCACCCTTTTTTGAAACACTCCCTGTTCCAGATTTTTTTCCTCTCATTTTCTATTAACTCATCTTCTCTTCTTTCTTTTCTTCTCTTTTTTTCATAAACTGAGAGAGGAGAGAGAGGGAGCGAGGAAGGAAAGATGAGAGTAAGTGATTAGTTCAAATAATTAAGGATTTAAACGAATTTCAATTAAATTTTAATAATTCATTAATTAATTTATTTGATCAAATAATTTGATATTTAAAAACTTATTTATAAAATGAATAAAATTCCTAAATTATTAAATTAATTTTGAAGGAAATGTTTATTAATAATAATAAAATCTGATTGATTCCAATGAAATCATAAATGAGATTAAATGAATAGAAATATGTAAATAAATCAAAAGTCAAATTCAAATTTAAATTAAATCATTTAGAGATTAAATATTTGTTTAATTAAAAAATCGAAATTGGAATTAAGGAAAACAGAATCTCAATCTCCTTATTCGTATTCAAATTTGAAATTTAATATAAATTTTCTTAAGATTTTTTTTTCCTTAATTATTTGAACAATCATGTAAAAGATCGATCTCTTCCTCTCGCTCCCTCTCGTTCTCGTCCTCTCTACTCTCTTCTCTCTCATCGGTGTTGATGCACGTGTCAGCGACTATTGAATGTCACCAAAATCAAGAAGGCTGTTGGTTAAAAAAAATAAAAGAGAAGGAAAAGAGAACTCTAAGAGGGGAGAATGAACAAAGAGAAGAAAAGAAGGAAGAGAAAACAAATAAATAATGAGTTTAAAAAAATAGTAATGGATAGTGAAAGTAATTTGGTATTCATCGGTTTTGAAAAAAATGGGTAAAAATCAAACTGTTTATTTAAATTTGAAAGTTTAAATCAAAGGTCAGGGTCTATTTATTTGAAAGTTTTATTTAAATTTTTAAATTTTTAAAATTTTTAAATTTTTCCATTTTAATATTTAAACTGTTAATTTCTAAAACATTTCTCAACTTAAAAAAAAAATACTTTGTTCGTTTTTTTTTCTAATTTTACCATCTAATACCTGTTTTATTCAATATTTCTCTTCAACTCATGTGGTTTAAAATTTAAATAAAATAAATATTTTGAAAATTTAGTAAGTGATAGAGAGTTGAACTCATAATTTAAATAAAATAAATATTTTGAAAATTTAGTAATTAAAATGAAATAAACTTCAAAGTTTAAATTGGAGACTTCAAATGTCAAACTAAAGGTAGAATAATCAAATTGAAATTTAATTTTTTTAATCGGTATAATTTAAACCTTTTATATATATATATATATATATATATATATATATTTTATATATATGGCCAAGATTTTAAATTTCACCTACTTTGTATTTTAAAAAATCTTCCTTTTCTTATGAGTAAATTATCCATTCGTAATTTTTTTTTATTTCACCCTTATCTATACTATTTTAAAAATTTTAATTTAATTATTTTTTCAATAATAACTTTAAACTATTTCAATTGAAAAATAGAGTACGCTCCACAATTAAATAATAATGGTACAAAGCCTATATATAGGAAAGAGTACAGACTAATGTAATCAATCATAACTGCTAAATTTTATTTCACCCTTATCTATACTATTTTAAAAAAGAATAAATTAAATGGGAGTCAATTGTCTATACAATGGAAGCATTTTTTTTATAAAAAATTGTCAGTTATTTTAATTTCTAACTTAAAAAGAAAAAAAAAAAGACAAAATAAAAATTTTAAACGAAAATTCGCTTGCAAATATAACAAAATAAAATTCAATAAATATAGCAACCACTTTATGATGTATGCTAAATATAGCAAAAAGTGGATGTGCAACCCTTGTACCTTTAAAGTGAGTGGTTGTTTTGAAGATGAGAAACCTCGTTTTCAAATTATATTAATTATATACTTCATCTCAGGTATATTATTGATAATTCTTCTTCAAATTAAATATTTTGGTATACTTTATATTGGGTGCATCGATTCATTAAAATAGTGAGAGCAAAATAAGAATAACCAAAAAACGAAAAATATGTGATTTAAAAAATTTTCCCATATTTATAAATTGAAAAATATTGCTATATTTTCAAATGTGGTAATTTTTTTTTTTGGTTACTGTTTTAAAATTTTCTTTTACTTGTATAACACTATCTATTCCAAATTGAAAAAAAAAAAAAGAAAGAAAGAAAGAAAATATCAGATTTTATTATATTCCATTCCCAGCTTATATTTTAGATGACAAACTCCACAAACTTGAAAAACCGTTCCACGGACACTTTTGCCATCTTTCCAATTTTTAGTAGAAAGCTTTAGTAATTGTGTTGATGTGTTTAATCTGCATAAAAGTCGTGTTTCTGTATAATTTGTTTTTTCAGTTTAACAACACATAAAAATACAGATTCAAATTCATGACCTTTTAATCGAGAATATATATACGATTAAACTATACTCAATCTGAAATTTCTACCATAGTATTTATTAAATTGGGTGCCTTTTGAGTAATATTGAGATTTATAATTGGAAATATTGAATGTTCTTATCATATGTTATTGAAATGGTCAATCCTAACAAACTTCTTCCATGTCAATTGTTTAACTTACTCCGTAATTTGAATATCTTCATGAGTTTCTTCAATAATGTTACCATTATTTGTCTGGAGCTTGCTTTATTTAAGTATGCAAAAAGTGTGCCAAATATGCATGCAACTCTCAAACATAATTTGATAGAAGTAAAAAGGGATTTTAATGTGCTATCTCAAAATATATGCATGTTTATTATGACTTACTGCCTTTTATTTTCCAATTAAGCCCTTGACTTTCTCTTTGGAAGGTTTTTACAGATGCATAAACAAGGTTTCAAAATCCCAATAACATTGCAAATCTCCTTATGGTTATGCTATATATTTAATTTTGTGGGAATTTAGACACTTTAAGTTCGTCTAAGGAAGGAGTAATTTAATTGACTCCCTTGGTTTGTCTTATATTCAAGAAAATATATTTTTAAAAAATAAGATTCTAAATTTCTCGTAATTTATTTGTCATCTGTATTTTTAAAAAATTTAAATTATATATATAACATGACAAATATACGATAGAAATTTGAGTGTACGACGTCTTAGAAGAATAGGAATATCTTAACCACTAAACTATGCTTATAACATCGTCACAAAAAGATTATACATGTAATTAGAAAGTTAAAATATAAAAATTTATTCACCTCCTAATGATCTAGCGTTGTGTCAAGGATTTCACATTAAATATCAAGAGATTAAATAAAGTTTATATTAGAGTATCATATTGTTTATTTAGCTAACTTAGTTAGCTAGAAGTTATTATGTTATTCTTTCCTTTGTATTATTTAAATATACTTCTCATGTACGGTTTAATTTTGAGATGAATGAGAAGAGACTTTTTCCCCATAAAATTTATAAATAAATTAACTACTTCTTTCATTATCAATTAATTTTGAGATTAAGCGTCAAAGCGAGTATAGCGCAGCGGTAATTGACATATACCTCTAACCATGAGGTTGTGAGTTCGTTCCCCCACCTGTTGTATTAAATTCCAAAGATCCATGATTTGTCGTCTCTCATCTCGCTCCCATTATATATTGGGTTCTTTTTTTTTCCTCATTGTTTGTCTGGTTTTAGTTATGTTGTTGTCTTTTTTTTTTGTGTTTTCTTTGTTCCTTTGTGCCTTGATCAGACTTTGAGATTCATTTTCTTATTTTCCTTGCAATATACTTAACCTATGCAGAAAAAAATGTTGAAAATTACATATCAATTATCGTTTTGTTTTTATGAATCCGAACTAATTAACTCAGTAAATAAGACACGACATATGTATCTTTTGTAAAAGTTAAAAAGGTTCAACCTCATCCCATATTCCATGATAATAATAGCAATTTTATATTTTACTCATGAAAATAATATGCAGTTATTTATTTAGAAAATCTTATGTCAAAAAAGAGAGATGAAAATCTTATCCAAACATTATAGCATATCCACCATTCTTGAAATGGACCTGGATGTTTTTGGTCACAACACTTTCCACGTTGGGGGAAGGTATTATTTATTGTCGTTTAATTAAAAATAAAGCGACGGGAAGCTACACATCTGACCCGTTACCTAAGCCTAACGAAATTAAAATCGGTCCACTGCGATGGAGATGGCAGGGTCCCAATCGACTTTTTAATAATTTGTTCTCTCCTTTAATACAAAAACGCGAAGTTTCACCAAAAAAAAAACCAAAACAAAACAAAATGGGTGC